TACCAATATATTGTAATACAGAATATATTAAGGTGTGATGTGAATGATGCAGGAATGATGATGTCTGGCTGCCGGCGAGCCATTATTTAGGATCGGGATGATCTGATACTTGATCTTGACTCGATTTGTTAGCCGCGCTGTGTACTATTCCGCAGCTCTCGCAGCATTTGAAAAAAATGTCTCCACTTGTTGGGAGAGCTTGATTGGTAGAGTGCATTTCTGCTTGTTGGAAAAGCTTTACACTGAGAAATGTCTCCACTTGTCGGGAGAGCTTGATTTGTAAAGTGCGTCTCCGCTTGTTGGGAGAGCTTTGCATTGAAATGTAAAGTAATCTCCGCTTGGGAGTGATTGGCTAAATTGTAATCATGCCTAAAGTTGCATGAGCAAAACGTTAAAACATTCAAAATAACTACAAACGAAATGAAAGCATGCCCAAGAGAGCAATCGATTGGTGGAACATCGCTGAGGAGGTTTGCGACTGTCTATTCTGGCATCCGTTGCGATGGAGCGGCAATGCGAATTGCTTTGTTAGAGGTTTTCAATTTGTAATATACAAGGCTTCAATTGGTGAAGCCGACGAATCATTTCGTACAAGGTGCTCTGATTGGTTGAGCAGACGGTTTTCTATATATAGGACTTCAATTGGTAAAGTCAACAGTTCGTTTTGTACAAGATGCTCCGATTGATTGAGCAGGCGATTTGCTATGTACAAGTTTTTCTGTATCAGCTTTCTGATTCTGAAGTACCTGCAAAGGATTCAAAAGTTAGCTTTAGCTGTACTGGAAAAATTCAATGGAGGAAGAGAGATAATCTTAGGCAAGTGGCGGGTTCGTCATTTGCCCCAGTGTGGTCTTAGTGCTTCCTTACTCCCTGTCGACCCTGCACACAAAGAAAACTTCTTGGGATGGGGGGGGGAAGTTGGTTTGTGTTGACCACAATATTGGTTTGCCTCGGCCTTGGACATGATTACGCTGCGAAGTTCGGTAGATGGAACAAATTACCGTATATGTATATTTTTTTTTAGAATTTTTTTGAAAATAGCTTGTTTTAAGGTAAATGTCGCCATTCCTGATTATGACATGTTACGAAAGGTTCTCCACACGCAAGTGTATCCTTCTGAAAACTTTGTCATGTTGATTTCGATCCTCCGTGATGTTTTTGACAACGCAGTTGCTTGCTGTTGCGATTGCTTAGGCTATATGCTGGTACTGTTGGGATCCACAGAGGTCGTTTTGCGGTTAAATTACTTGCTTAATTTGCAATTATGTACTCAGTCACATCTATCATCTGCATATAATATCTCAGTCTCTGTTGCCATTTATTGATACTTCATATTATCATTGTTTGGGCTAATTTTTCATGATATTGTGAGCCCGAGAAACTGGAGAGATTAGTGACTAAGTGAGGCCGAGAGCCTGATTGTGAGGATATCTATGGGATCGGGTTGCACGCCGCAGCAGACTTTATTGATTCATGCCATGATTGGCTTATTATAGCGCTTGGGCTGGATCTGCCCCTCTAAAGTCTGCACACCCATAGTGAGCGCAGGTACCTATTGAGCGCGAGTGTCGAGCGATTGGGCAAATCGAGTAATTGTAAGGATGGAGTGACTGCGAGGAATGAGTGACTGTGAGGATGTAGTGTATGGGATGACTGAGTGATTGATACTCTAAGAGTATGCATATGATTTCATCGTTGTTTTGTATTTTCAGTTAGCATACATAACTGACATGTAGACATCGAGATGTATCATTTTCGTATTTCAGTTGTACTTGGCTTATCTTATCTGTTTGAGCTTTACTGTTAAACTTGAAAGCATGTCTACTTTTTTGTACTGTATTTCCTGTAATTGAATTGTGCCTGTGAGGTTCGTCACTGCTTTCAGCTCAAAGGCTAGACTTGTTACTTATTGAGTTGGTTGTACTCACGCTACACCCTTCACTTTTGTGTGTAGATCCAAGTGCTTCTAGGAACGGTGGTTGCTGACTTTGGAGCCATTATTCAGTTCGGAGATCCTCGAGGTAGCTGCTTTGGCGTCTGCATTCCTTGACTCTCCTCCTTTATCATCTAGTTCTATTTGTACTGTTCTACTCTTTTAGACAGTATTTTCAGACTTTGTTACTGTAGTAATTTCAGGGATTCATACCCTTAGAACCAAGTTTAGAAGTGTTACTTACCTCAAACCGTGCAAATCTCTACTCCAGAAAGCCCTTGCCTCGCGAATTGGCCTCCGAATGCCTCGAATCTAGCCATAAACAATTCGATATAATCAACTCAAGCTATATAAATCAATTCCATATGAAACTGCTAAGTTTGTAAAGTCAACTCAAAAAGTCAATTCCGAGCCCACATCTCGGAATCCAACAAAAGTTACAAAATTCGGACACCCATTCAACTACGAGTCCAACCATACCAAATTTACTAAATTCCAACACAAATCGTCACTTATATCCCCAAATCTTACTCTTCAATGCCTAGCCCAAAACTCCGAAAATTCTACCTTAAAAACATATAAACTAGGTGGAAAAATCAATGGGTCATCAATATTATTAAACAAAAATGATCAAAAGTGGCTTACCTCAAGAATTATCGTGAAACCCCTCTCAGAAAACTTCCCCAACCGACCTTGCAAAGTCTAAAAATGATAAAAATCCCGAAAACCCTTCGAATATAATCTGCCCATGGCCTTTCGTACATGCGCTCCACTTAACCGCATCTGCGGTCTCGCTTTTGTGGATTCCTCATCGCTTCTGCGATCCACAGCCTCCAGCCCACTTCCACATCTGCGATCGCTCATGCGCAGATGCGCATCCGCATTTGCGGATATCCTTCTGCACATGCTCCCCAAGCTCCTTTTCCAGACTTCGTACCTGCGACCTTTCTCCATATCTGCGACCTCGCAGGTGTGGACAAACCCTCACCCTACGACTACTGCCCAACTTCGCCCAAACCGTACCTGCAACCATTTCTTCGCTTCTGCGGTTACGCACCTGCGACCAAAACTCCGCAAGTGCGATGACACCAGACATCAGCAGCCTAGAAATTTCTCCCAAGCCCAAAATTCAATCTGATTCCCGTCCGAATCATTCCTGAGGCCCCCGAGACCTCCACCAAATATATCAACAAGTACAAAAATACGATATGAAATTAGTCGAGGCCTCAAATCACATCAAACAACATCAAAAATATGAATCGCACCCCAATTCAAGCCTAATGAAAACTAATGAATTCCAACTTCTACAATTGATGCCGAACCTATCAAATCAACTCCGATTGACCTCAAAATTTGCACACAAGTCTTAAATGACACAACAGACCTATCCTAATTCCGAAACCAAAATTCGAGCCCGGTAACTATAGAATCAACTCTCAGTCAAACTTCTCAACTCTCCAAACTTCTAATTTTTCAACTTTCGCCATTTCAAGCCAAACTCACCTACGGACCTCCAAATCAATATCTGGACACATTCTTAAGTCCAAAATTATCGTACGAAGCTATCAGAACCATTAAAACTCCATTCCGGAATCGTTTACACATAAGTAAACATCCGGTCAACTCTTTCCAACTTAAGCTTCTAACCTTGGGACTAAGTATCCCAATTCTTTCCGAAATATTTCCGGAACCAAACCAACTACCCCGACAAGTAATGTAACAACAATTGAGCATAAAATAAGTAGTAATTGGGGGACAGAGCTACAACACTCAAAACAACCGGCCGAGTGGTTACATAATGGTATACAACAATGTGATGGCATACAATAATGAGAATAGTTAGATCACACTAGTGTATATCATNATATATATATATATATATATATTTGATGTTAGTATAAACTAATATATATAAAAAAATATTTACCGACAATTATTTTGAGGCTAATATATTGTGTAGATTTTTAAATATTTTTTTCTATATAGTTATGTGATGTAATATTTCTTAAAATGGGTATTTTTAGCAAATGTTTTTTACTGTTTTGACACACAATATAAAAAAGCAAAAATAAAAAATAAAAGGGCCAAATATACCTTTCTATTATCGAAAATTGTTTAAACTTAGCATTACACATTCGTTCAGAATTGGCCTTAATTTGGACGAAAGGAAATGTGATAACTCTGGATTAAATAGATCCACCCCTATTTTAAATTACTCGAATCCTTTAAAACTCACCCATAACCAGACCCAGCTTCCTCTCACCCTTAAAATAAGGAGAATCTTACAAAAATGTCCAAAATAAATTTAAACTTACCAACCTCTTGCCATTAATTATAGACTTATCAAAACTAGCCAAACACATATAAAAATTAATAATCCAGATAAATACGAATTTTTTCTCTCCAAGAATCACACACAAAGATCTCCTTCTATATTTTTAAGTGTGATCAGCAACATTAGATGCAAGACGGAAAGGAAATTTTATGGATGAGGTAGCAAACAAAGTGATGAAACACAAAGATAAAAATGAGTATGATTGAAGTTCATTGAAAACATATAGAAGTTTCAATATACAAAAATTAAGAAAGATTGGAGGTGATTTCGACTAGTTTTGAGTCAAAATTCGTAATTGAAATTGAGTTTAAAAAGTCTTCTGCGACACATGTATCACGCGTGTATCTCACACACAAGTATATATGAATATACATGTGATACATATTTGATACACATATAATCTTTTTCATGTTCATCTTCTATTTCGAATTTTCAATTTCAACTACCTCAAAACTCTATCAAATCATCCCAAACTTAGACAAACTTCTTAAGACGTACCCAATCTATTCCGACAATACCCACTCAAAAAAAGTGAAAATTTGATATTTTTTTGCTATAAATAGCTATTTGGCTAATATTGTTAGCAATTAACTAATATTGGTAATATTTTATGAAACTAATTTTTATACTAATTTGCTTATGGGCCGACATAATCGGTAGTTTCTCAAATAAGCCCTAAACGAATGAAACCCTCATTTCAACCTCACCCTTTTCAACATCCTCCTCCGGTCAAACATTGTCAACATATTCATCATATACAATATTCCTTCCATTCCAATGGGACACTGTAACATAGATAGATAGTCATAAAAATCAGAGTCGTAATTTTAGTTTATTTGGGTAGAAGTGGGTAATGGTAATGAAGAGAAATTCAGAATAATTGGAATACTACACAATTGTATGATATAAGAAGTTTTCTTCTTTCATTCGCAGTTACGCACCTGCAATAGATCCACTGTGAACATCTACATACTTGAATGCATTTAATTATGTTTTACAATAGGTTCAGTTTTGTTTGCTGGGTGTGCTTACAATTACTCTGAATTTTAGGTCGTGAGGGTCAAATGAGAGTTTCATTCTTTAATGGATTTATGTAATTTAAATTGGGTAGATTAAGAGTGAGTTTTAATGGATTTATGTAATTTAAATTGGGTTGATTCTATTTAATCTAGAGCTGTGACGTGACACTCAGTCTAAATTTGATATAAATGGTAAGTTTAAATAGTTTACGATACTAAAAGATATTCGGCGCTTTTCCGAAGGAAAAAGAAATGAAAACTAAAAACAAAAGTAAGTTAATGTCCCATATGATACTTTCAGGAAAAGCCCCTTCCCTTCCTAGCCTTGGCTCTCACTTTCAAATTCCCGACCTCTTTCTAGCGCCGAAATTACCAGCACGCAGAGCAAGGACACCATTAGCCGTTCGGCCACTGACCCAAATGGAAATCGGCGGATTAGACTCCGATGGCCGTGAATTTAGAAACGCGGACGAGATGTGGAGAGAAGAAGTAGGAGATGGTGACCACCAAAAGAAGTCTCAATGGTATAACAAAGGCATCAATTACTGGGAAGTAAGTTCCCTTTTTTTGCTTTATGTAATTTATACGCGTTCTGTTGTTGGTTTTTGTCTGTATAGAGATTTGTATGTTAGTAGAAAATATAAAGAACTAGCACATGACGGTGGTGCCTAATGGTCAATGAAGTAGAACCATGAAGTGTGAGGTTCATCCAAGTGGAGATAAAACACATTAGGTGATTTCTCCCGGTCTGCCTAAGTGTTTGTGAGTTACGCGACGTGCGTGCCTGTGGGAGTAGCAGGTACCTGATGAAATAGTTGAGTTACGCGCAAGGTGATCCGGACACCGACACTAGCATCATAAAAAAAATAACTATAGGGCATAGAACACAAAATATTGAATATTGGAACTAAATGGATATTGAGGATTTATGCGGCTAAACCTGACTAGCTTGGAATTGAGGCAAAAGTATTATTGTATGTAATTTCTATGTGTTTACTTGATTTATCTCTGTTGGTATGTGAAGGGTGTGGAAGCCACAGTGGATGGTGTGCTGGGCGGATATGGGCATGTGAATGAGGCTGATATAAAGGCAAGTGAGGAATTTCTCAACACCATTTTGCCAGAAAGGTTCCCTGATGCTGGAAGAGGCCGCCATCTTGTAGCTCTGGGTAGTCCATCCATTCGCTTTTATCCTTGGATCTTTTTCTGAAACAATGGAACATATTGGTAACTCAGTATTACATGTTAGCATACAAGATTAAATGTATTCCTTAAAAAAAGCTCCCCAAATTATTTGGATTTTTAGTAAAATATTTTCTAGGAATATGGTTTTTAGTGTTTATGCAACACATGATATGTGGGTTTAGCGCAAGTCATGCGTTCGAACTCAAATGCAGATAGAAGTATGATATTTAAGTGGAGAAGGGTAGAAGGCGACCCTATTATCCGCCGAGTTCCACCAGTGCGCTATTGTCCTATTCAATCTTACTCGTTTTAATCAGCATTTGGATGATGTCGTCAACATTTAATATCTAGAAATATTATCAAAACATTGCTCTCATACCCTTTATACACCTTCTACAATGACCACACATGAGGTACTTTTGTATCCAATATAACATTTAAAAATGATTCAAAAAATTATTTCATAAGGGATAAAAAATTTCATAGATTTTTTTTCCATGGAAGACATTTTCCTCCACCCTAAACGCCACCCAAGACTAGAACTTTATACCATTGCTATCTTTACACTATTTGCTACAGGGCTAAGGTGAAGCTGCCTCTGTGAGTTAAAATGTTTTGACAAATTTCTTACTCCATTTGTTTCATTTTATATGTAGTTGTTTACTTTTCAGACCGTTTAAAAAAGAATAACACCTTTCTATATTTGAAAACTCTTTAGCTTTCAATATCTCATTTTACCCTTAGTGACATGTTCTTATAGTAAATTGCCATGGTATGTTTATGACTACAAGTTCTAAGGGTACTTTTGATATGTGCCAATTTTTTTTTTTTTAAACTCCGAGTCCAAGTAAACATTGCAATATAATAATGAAATGGAGGAGTATTAGACAAATTTATTTACTAGAGGCAACTCTTAAACTAACGGGTTACTTGGGTGGATGACCCCTTTTAAGTCTTCAATTGAGTAAATACTTTTCAAATAGGTGATGATGTTATGAAGGATAGGGCAGCCCACTTTGTTGAAATTGCCATGGTGGTTGATGAGTTGGATATTACAGGTGGCACAAGGAAAAGCTCGAAGCTGCGTACAACTAATAGAATGTTAAGGGATTATTTGTGGGACCTTCCCTGGGAATTCTGTTAGAGGTCAGAGTGTGCGTGAGAGTTTTAAATTGTGTGTGATGGGACCATTATGGATTATGCTATTGTGAACCTCCTTCCTCCCTTATCTGCTTCTTCTCTATCTTTCTTCTTCTCTGCCTATTCTCCTCTTCTTCCTCCTCCTCTCTACTCTGACTGTTCTTCTGGTTCTATTTCTAAGTTTAACTTCGTTTATTGTATTTTCATTCCCTAAGATTACTGTAATTGTTCAGTGAATTTGATCAATAGAAGTCGTATTGTTGTTGGGTTGATTGTGAATTAGTAGCAACTGCTAACATTGGTACTTTCTTTGATTTAGCCTCACAATGTGACACTCGTTTACAGAAGTTAGATGACTCCATGAAGGAGGTTAGGGAAACTCAGCTCGAATTCAAGCACGAGATTCGTGAAGTTACTGCTTTGATGGCCAATCTTGATGCTAAGGTCGATGGCCATCAATGGAAAGTTCAGGAGATCATCACTCATATCACTGCCTTGGGTAATCAGATCACTTCTTTCTTTGCTGAATCTAGTCGTTCTCATCCTATTCAGGTTGATGTGATTCCGCTGTGGCGGCGGTCGACCACCCAACTCTGCGCTATAAACCGGCATCAGTGGAATTTGGTCGTTTTTCGGGGATAATCCAGAGGCTTAGGTCTTTCAAGCTAATTGCTATTTCGATTTCTACAGTATTGAAGCTGACCATCGACTCACCATTGCTTCATTTTATTTGGACGGTGAGGCTATTGCGTGGTATTGCTGGCGTTTTCGTAATAAGTAGTTAAGTGACTGGTCGGTTTTCTTTGAGAAATTAATCTCTCGCTTCAAAAAGCGGTACCTATAGGAACCGGAAGGACATTTGGCCAAACTCCAACAAGTGATGACGATGGCCGCTTATCGGGCGAGTTTGAGGCAATCGTTACTGAAGTTGTAGCCCTTCCAAATGCTATGATTGTGCATAGGTTCACGTTGGGCCTTAAACCTGAGATGAAGGATGATGTGCTAATTGCAAAGCCCAAAATATTAGATGAGTCGGTCCACTTTGCCCAATTGTATGAACATAAGCTGCAACGTGACCATGGGCCTTCTCGATCCAGTTGGCCCAAATCACAACCCATTTTGCCTACTCCTATATCCGCATTATCCACTTCATCTTCCCCCTTTTCAACCGTCTCTAGTCCTGCTTTAGCCATGCCTAAATTTCTTATCAAACGACTCTCTACATTAGAGCTTCGTGAACGCTGCGAGAAGGGCTTGTGTTTTTCCCGTGACAAAAAGTTTACCCTGGCCACAAATGCAAACCTTTTTCTCATCTTTTATTGATATCCAATGAGCATTTGGAGACATCAGGCGTTTTCACCCCAACTATTTTTGATGAGGCTCTGGCCGAGCATCTTCAAGCCTTAGAAATGGAAGTTCACTCCACCATTTCCTTTCATACCCTTGTTGGTGCTTATTCCGCGACCACGGTACGCTTCTGGGGCCATATTCAAGGATCTCCTGTACAGGTTCTCTTGGATGGGGCTAGTACCCATAATTTTGTGCAGACTCGAGTTGCTAAATTTCTTCAATTACCAGTGGAGTCAACAAAGAGTTTTTCAGTTGTAGTCGGCAACGGACAACGCCTTCGCTCTGAGGGTATTGTTCGATCTATTCCTCTGACCATTCAAGGCCTTGAGCTCCTCCTCGATTTCTATGTTTTGCCTATGCACAGAGTTGATTTGGTCTTGTGTGTATCATCGTTGGCTACTATAGGCCCCGTTCTGACGACTATGCGCAGCACATATTCAAATTTCACCATGATGGTCCATGCATCCACTTGGACAGGGAAGCCTCCCCTGTCCTTCAACCAGTACAACTTCAAAGTCTTCGCTGTTTGTATAACTCTGATTCCGTGGCATCTTATGCTCACCTTGCTTTGGTGTCTCATGACCCAGATAGTCTGCTTGCTTATCCATGAGATCCTAAGGAGCTTCTCGATGGATTTTCTGACATTTTTCAAAATCTATGTTCACGCCCACAGGATCACTCTATCCATTTGTTTCCAAACTCGGGGCCTATTACTGTCAAACCTTACAGGTACCCGTATTTTCAGAAGCGTGAAATAGAGCGCTTAGTGGATGAGATGTTGAAGGATGGTATAATCCATCCTAGTACCAGTCCGTATTCTTCACCTGTCTTGTTGTTTCGCAAAAATGATGGCACTTGGGCATTTTTGTGTGGATTATCGGGCTGTCAATGCTATTACAGTCCGAGATCGTTTTCCCATTTCCTACTATAGATAAATTATTTGATGAACTTCATGGCTTGCAGTTCTTCTCTAAGTTGGCAGGTTACTACCAAATCCGTATCAAGGCTACCGATGCGGAAAAGATAGCCTTCCGCACACATGATGATCACTATGAATTTTTGGTAATGCCTTGTGGTCTGTCGAATGCCCCTTCAACCTTACAGGCCTTAAGGAATAAAGTATTCTGGCCTTATCTTCGCAAGTTCGTTTTGGTGTTTTTGATGATATCCTGGTATATAGTCCGTCATGGGAGCGTCATTTGGAGCATCTTTCTTTGGTGTTGCAGTTGCTTTGTCACCACAAGTTGGTGGCTAAACTATCCAAGTATATCTTGGCCAGTCTCATGTCGACTACTTGGGGCATGTTTTATCTCCACAAGGATTCTCTGTGGATCCAGACAAGGTACTTGTAATTCAGCGATGGCTGCCCCCTCGGAATGTAAAGGAACTCCGGAGCTTCCTTGGATTAACTGGCTACTATAAGTGTTTTATTTGCCACTATGCTCAAGTGTCTAGCCCCCTGACATATTTGTTGCGAAAGGACTTCTTTGCTTGGACCTCTGATGTCCAAGCTGCCTTTGATAAATTGAAGGAACTATTGAGTTCTACACCTGTTCTTGTGTTACGTGATTTTTCCCTACCATTCCAGGTTGAAACAGACGCTTTGGATACTGGTATTGGGGCTGTTTTAACACACGCCGGCAACCCCATTACTTTCTATAGCCAAAAACTGTGTCCTCGTATGCAAAAGGCCTCAACTTACCACCGTGAGATGTATGCTATCACTCAAGCAGTCAGCAAATTATGTCATGATTTGTTAGGACATCGTTTTACCATTTTGACGGATCAGCAGTCTCTCGAGAACTTAACTGAGCATGTCATTCAAACTCCGGAGCAACAGAACTGTCTGTGTAAACCTGTGGGGTATGATTTCACTATTCTCTACTGTCCAGGCCGTCAAAATTTAGCAGCAGATGTTCTGTCTCGCACCCGGCTTCCTTTTTAGCTTTATCCACTAGGACCTTTGATTTCATCACTACACTACAAGAGGCTAATCTGTCCCATGCGGTATTATTAGATTGGCAAGCAGCACTGCAGCAAGCTTTAGCTACTGTTGCAGAGTTTTCCTTTCGTGACGGTTTACTGTTCCACAAGAATAGACTGGTGATCCCATATGATTCTGCACTTGGTCCGAGAGTTCCATTCATCATTATTGGGTGGTTATGCTGGGGAGGCAAGAACATTTCATAGGTTGTCTTCTAATTTCTTTTGGAAAGGAATGAGAAAAGATGTCAAGACTTGCGTTGCCTCTTGCCAAATTTGTCACCCGATGAAGGACTCGTCTCAATTACCTGCGGGCTTGTTGCAGCCCCTTCCAATCCCAGCTATGGTATTCGAAGAAGTAGCCATGAACTTCATTACTTTCCTTCTTCGAAAGGCAAGGCGACCATCATGACGGTAATTGACCGCTTGACCAAATATGGACACTTTGTGGCTTACCTTCTAGTTTTTCAGCACAACCAGTGGCTACTGCTTAGAGTGATTATCTCTGATCGTGATCCAAGGTTCCTACATTCCTTTTGGAAAGAGATTCACAGACTTCAGGGTACCACTCTTGCTACCAGTATGCTTGTCACCCTCAAACCGACGGCCAGTCAGAAGCTTTGAATACATGCATCAAAATGTACCCTTGTTGCTTTGTTGCGGATACACCCCATGATTGGGTTTCCATGTTACCATGGGCAGAATTTTGGTACAACACCTCCTATCAATCAGCTGGTATGACTCCTTTCCAAGCTCTATATGGTAGAGAACCTCCTGGTATGGTTCAATATGTCTTGGGTGGCAGCTCAGATGATTTGGTGGAGAAATATATGACCCGCAGAGATGAGGTCTTGGGCATTTTGAAACTTAACTCAGGAGGCACAAACGAGGATGAAAGAGGTAGTAGATTGCAAGAGGCGAGATGATCACTTTTCCGAGTGTAATTGGGTATTTGTTAAGTTGAAACCTTATAGACAATACTCAGCTCGTCAACAACTTCATCACAAATTGGGTCATCGATTCTTTGGCCCCTTCCAAGTACTAAAGCGAGTTGGTCAGGTCGCTTATAAATTGGACCTCCCTGCCAGTGCACGCATTCACCCTGTTTTCCACATATCCATGCTTAAGCGATGTATTGGCAAGCCGGAGAACCAGATTGCTTCTCTTCAATTGCTTGATACCTCAACGAACCTTGAGGACAAGGTTCCTTTTGCCGAAGGGGTAATGTTATGAAGGATAGGGCAGCCCAGTCTATTGAAATTGCCACGGTGGTTGATGAGTTGGATATTTCAGGTGGCACAAAGAAAAGCTTGAGGCTGCGTACAACTAACAGAATGTTAAGGGATTATTCATGGGACTCTCCTTGAGAATTCTATTAGAGGTCAGGGTGTGCCTGAGAGTTTTAAAGTTTGTGTGATGGGACCATTATGGATTATGCTGATTGTGAACCTCCTTCCTCCCTTATCTGCTTCTTCTCTGTCTTTCTTCTTCTCTGCCTATTCTCTTCTTCTTCTTCCTCTCTACTCTGACTGTTCTTCTGGTTCTACTTTCTAAGTTGTAACTCCGTTTATTGTACTTTCACTCCCTAAGATTACTGTAATTATTCAGTGAATTTGATCAATCGAAGTTGTATTGTTGTTAGGTTGATTATGAGCTAGTAGCAGCTGCTAACAGATGACCCTTTTATTACATTAAAGAATTAAAAGAATATCAATTTTTCTTCTGTTGCTGTTTCAATTAAATTGAGCTGTCATTGTTAATCAACCTCCTTCTTTAGTCGATTATCCCCTATTGTCTATATTCAACCCTCTTTATTGGTGGTTTAGTTTATCAACCTCCTTCTTGGTTGATTATCAACCTATTGTCGATAATCGACCCTCCTTTTGGTATCACCTTCGTGGTTAATCATTAACCTATAGTCAATAAAACGACCTCCTTAGTGGTCGATCATCAAACTATTGTTGATAATCAACCTTCTTGGTTGTCTATCAACTCGTTGTTGCTACTCAACCCCCTTCTGTTGCCACCTCCTTGGTGAAAAAAATGGCTAAGTAGCAGGGACATCAACCTATGGTCGATAATCGACCTCCTTCTTGGTCGATTAAGGGCATTCCCTTAATTTTAAACTTCCGCGAAGAGAAAGAAAAAAGAAACTGAACGTCTTTTAATTAATTCAAGACTTACAGAGGGCGCATACACCACATCTTCTCTAACTTGTGCAGCCTGTCTACACCTTAATACACAGTTTCCGAAGAACTTGAGCATTACTATTTTCCTGAATGACTTACCAAAAAGCAATGACCTCCTAAATGCTGATTTTAAGTGCAGTGTATCATTTTTGACTTGTGATTGAACTTTAATACCTATTGGAACTCTTTGTTTGCTTCAAGTTGCAGAATTGACAGCAATTGTGTACCATATTGTCTAGTTTCTTGGTTTATAACGCGTGGACAGTTTTCTCCAATTGGTGCAGATTGTGGATCTGGCATTGGAAGGGTTACCAAGAATCTTCTTATACGATATTTCAATGAGGTATGTACTTTCAATCTGAATAAAGTATATCTGATTTATCATCAAATAAGATATTCATACAATTTGATCTTTTTGACAAGACGTTGTGTTTAATCCCTCTAAAATGGCTATCTAGGCTAAAAACAGCAGACAACCAGATTGGACTTTGCCTTGAATGATAGATTTCACNTTCAGCTTAAAGTTGTAAAACATGAACCAAGACAAATTATATTTCAAATAATCTTTTTTCCTTTCTCGGTATGTCTTTGCATCTAACTTTTTGTGAATGCAAATGTTTGGACTTAGAATTCAGTTGTGCATATTATATAGGCATTGTCCCATTACCTAATATCTACATGACATTTGCCATTGTAAAGATGAGAGAAAATATGTTAGTGACTTGGTTAAGTAACAATATGTTAGCAAATAATTTTGAGTCATCTAAGCTGGGTAGCTATGGAGTCGAATTCACCACTGTGATTCTGAGGGCGTGATTCTCAACTATAGATTCATTGGAATTCTTCACAGGCTGTCCTAGTTTTGAGAGTGTTACAACTAGTGTTACCTTTCCCAAACAAAGAAGAAGAACGTGTTATGATTATTGGCATAGAAATAAATATAGATATTTGGTTAAATAATCTAGCTAGAATAGGCCTGTATGTAAAGAAAGCAATGTACTGGCAGCTGGAGGAAACTTGTGAATAAGCTAAATATATTCGATAAAGGAAAGGACATACTAATTTGTTTGGAACTGAGGCGTAGTTGTTGTTGTAGTAAAGGAAAGGAAGTGACAAGAGGTAAGGATAGATTTGATGTTGGTTGTTAGGTTGAGATGATGTATCTATGTACGAGAAGTAAAGATAGATTTGATGTTGTGTTGATAGGTTGAGATGATGTGTCTATGCACAAAAGTATGTCTATTTGTAGCTATTATGTTTTGGGTCTCAGCCTCTTTCTTTGTTGTCCTCCGGATTCTTGTGAAAGTTTAGCGCATCATGAATAATGTGCTAGTGGCTATTGGCTTGATCAACTGTTCATTCTATGTCTATGGGCGATGTTGCCTAATTGTCTGTGTCGTATGTTCAGTCAGCAATAATCTATCCTATTTTTGTGGAGAGCAGTTATTGATTGTTGATTCGATCATTGATTAAAAGTAGTTTTATTAGTAATTTCAATTCTTCCCATGCCCGGAGGTGGGTGTTCTATTTTGATCCATAATTGTACAACCACGTACAATCCAAATTGTTGAGTCTTCACCTAACCTGTACTCCATGAAAGCTCATTTGTCAACCATTCGGCTAGGCAGCTAAGGTCAACCTCTTGATCATCCAACTTTGCGATGGCAAGGCTGGCTGCACATTTTTATTTTTTGGAATTTTGGCATTAACACTTTGTCCCCGTAACCGCTTGAGAATTTAAAAAATTGGAAGAGTTCTGCCGTGTTTAACACCTAAATTTGGATATCATTGGCAATTACCAAAGGTTATGACTGGTCTTTTCGGAGTCTGCTCTTCCTAGGAATATTTGCTCCAGCGATTACCTTTTGAAACTCTCTATAAACTTTTGCAATTGTTAAGACACATTCTCACCCCTTTATGTAGTCTTTGCTTCATTGTTTTCCCCTTCTAACTAACCTTTGATCGCCCTCATCAATGCCTTAATTATCTTCCCTTTCTATCTAACTTTCAAATCATCCACGTCAATGGCTACCAGATAATCTCCTTTCTAAACCTTTCAAGAACCTGTAGCCTCCAACGCTTTAGTTTCTTTTCCACAAACAGAAAAGCTTATATGTTGGGTCCCCTCATAGTAGATGATTTTGAGAAGGGATCTTCAGACAGACCATCTCTATGTCCTGCTTGCCCTATAACATCTCAATGGTTCACCATAAATCACTTCCATATACATCTCAATGATTCTGTACTTTTGCAAGAATTCTAGTGACCGTGGGGATTGGCTTATTCATGGTGAGAAGGCCAAGGCAATGATTGAAAGAAACAAGAAATTTACGACATGGTACAGTTCTCCCGTTATGACATCCTTATGGATATGAAACCAATCTTGTGTTTTCTTTTGGATTTTTGACTTTATTTCAACCAGCAACATACTGCTTGTTTTGGAATGATGGGACCTACTGTAGAGAATGTTATAGCCATTATTTGGCTCTTAGCACATGGAGATGAGGCTCTAGCTTTATGCAATTAAGTCTGAGGATATTAGTTTCGAACAACAACAACAACTAAGCCTTAGTCCCAGACAAGTTGGGGTCGGCTATATGTTATATTACTGCATATAAATTATCTCAGGCCAATAATATACAATATAAAATAATAATTAGAATAAAAACTAAAAAGTACTAGAACCTTGATATAAGAAATAGTAAAAAGTACTAAGTTCTTTATATTTTCTACCGATGTGTAAATCTCTGAAAGACTACACAACTCTCCTATAAAAGCATAATACGTAAAGTAAAAGTGCTAACATGATCTAAGTCTAAAACATATTCTCAATTAGTAGGTCTCTCTTATATATTTTTCTTCCACTTTGCTGTATCTTTCGCTATTTTTGCATGCATCTCAAAAGATTGTAAGTCTTTCGAGACAACTTTCTTCCAAGTGATTTTAGGTTAACCTTGTCCTTTTATAACACCTTTACTCACCATGGTGTCACATCTACGCATTGGTGCATCTGGCGGTCAACGCAAGACATGACCAAACCATCTCAAGTGACTTCGTCTCATTTCGATCATTTCTAATCTTGTCAAATCTTGTATGACTGCACATCATCTTGACATTCGCATCTCTTCAATACTCATCTTGTGGATATGCAACACCTTAGTGGCCCAACATTCACTCACATAAACATTGCTGATCTTATAATTATTCTATAGAACTTACCTCTGACTTTCACAGGCATCCTTTTATTACATAATATCCCAGTAGCACTTCTCCATTTTAGCAATTCGATTTTGATTATGTGTAACATCTTCATCTATCATTACATTACAAGGATATTAGTTGCCAAATTTCTAAACCGGCCTTTTCTCATTACTTGTTCTCGAATAACAAGCAAGACATTTTGGACATGCTCAGTGGCGATGAGCATTAGAACTTCCTCTTCCACAGGCTCTGAAGTACTATGTTTGTATGAATTCCATGGCTGTCATACTTGACTACAAGACTCTTTTACCCCTTGCCCTTTTGCTTCTTTCCTTGCGTCGTTCTAAAACAATTAGTAGACTCTTTGATTGCTCTAGCTCTGGATTACACATGTATTTTTTTCAAGTTCGATTCTTTAACCTTGCATGAGGAGTGAGATGAAACCTACCCACTTATAGGATCGAGGTATCTAATTGCGAATCATTGGCACAGTAAGCTGCCTCGTTGCTTCTTGATGGGAGAAAAAAGAGTCTAGGTGATTTCTTTTTTCGGAAAGGAAATACGATCATGTTTAGTAGAGGACATGCGCAATTGCTTCCCAAGAGAAAGGCTCGCAAAAATTGTTATCAGTATACGAGCACATTGATGATTAGGGATCCCCTTTTTGGGTGTGAAATTGACGTCTCGACAAAATATATTTTTCATCAAACATGTATTCGTCAATGTTAATACCAATTTGGCCCAATTCAAAGCGTGTTGAGAAGCTATTCTTGCAGAGTAACTTAATAGGCTAATAGCCTGTTTGGCCAAGCTTCTTTTGAGGAAAAAGGACTTTTTTGGGGTTAAAGTGCTTTTTTTTTTTCTAAAATTAAGGTGTTTTTTTTTTGGCAATCCGCTAGGCAAGCGCCTAGGGCTAGTTTTTTATTAATAAAAGAAAAACAAAAATACAACAATTAGGAAAAGTATAAATAAGGGGGACAATAGCACCGGTATTGTTACCCATATGCCTTGGCTATATAATCACTCCTCTGCGCCTCACATTGCCTTATGATGGCAGCCTCATGTAGAGGATTCATGGTGTAGCTGCCGGCACAGTCTCACGAGGGCATATAATCTCATAGCCGTGTGGATATTTTTCCAAAGGCATAGGACCAAGGCAACACTAACCGTGCTAAACCTTACCTTACCAATCCTATTGAGGCAAAGAGAAAGCCTCATCTTCTAGCAAGCATGTAAAAAATAGGAACTTGAAAGTACCAAGTACTCTATGATCGCCATAGAGTTTATAACACACTCTATGACGCTATTACAAGTGATGATGCTTTGAAAATGATAAACTAAGACAATGTAGAAATTAGAATCTTGCCCCTCATTTATCAAACTTGTGAGTTCTTGCACTACATGGTTCATGTCTGTTTGTCACTGAAAATTTCAGCTTCAGTCCGGTCATTTTTGAGCATGATGAGTATGCACTTTTGTGTGGTTTTGGATTGCCCAAAGCATCCAGCAACTTTCTGTCCTCCAACGAAATAGTAGGTATATCAGTTACCATTACTACAGCTCCAGTCATGTTTGCATTAGACTGTTGCTGCCCAGTCGTGTTTGCATTGGACTGCTTCTGCCCAGTCGTGTTTGCATTGGACTGCTGCTGCCCAGGATTAGTATTAACATCAGCTGCAGTTGTTGTATGCTGCTGCTGCTGCCCAGATTGCATTGCTGCTGCCTCACCCATCGACCTACCTTTGTTGTTATTTGTCCCTCTATGTTGTTGCTTAGTGTTGGGAATGAAATCAGGAGCTTTGAATTTGATGGCCATTTCCTTTACATTTGCTCTTACAATTTCGTTGTTATTTCCAGTGATATCATGAGTTGCTCAGAATCTCGTCCATACTCACCATAAGACTCCATAGATTGTGTAGGAACTTCAAAAACTGATTTGTTCAAAGTCACTAGTGGTTGTTTAACCATGTTGGGTTGCATTCCCATAGGTGCCTGGGTCTCTTTAATAGTCTGTTCCACTTGTGGACTGGAGAAGTGCAAGGTTGGAGTAGTTGCACTATGTGCTTGGCCTGTATTCAATGAGGCATTTAGGCGGCAATCGAAATTGTTGACTAAAGTATCACTTCCTTGATGATTTTTTCCACGGGTAGAGCATGGAACAAGTTGCTTGTTCATCACATCTTCATTTAGGCTTATTGCATCAGTTCCACCACCCTCATCAGTTGCAAGAATCTCAAAAACGTTTGAGCCGGGCACAGTGTCAGTGTCCTTTCATAGAACACTTGTATTTTCCTGCCTTGGTGCTAAATTTGTAGCAGTTGTACCTGCTGCAGCTGATTTCTCCACTGGTTCATGACCTTCAACTGGTACATATTCCTCTCTCCTGCTTTCAATTTGAGACTGAGTGACATTCTCCATTTTTGCCATTGGATCCGTGTTAACAACATTGTCATTTACACTTTGATCTTCCTCCTCTATAGCCTCCTGATTAGCTTCAGCTTCTCCATTTGTTCCTTCTGGAATTTCTCCTTCGTCAGAGTCTTCCTCTGCTTGATCCTCCCAAAGTTTGCCACTAGTCAAAGCTAATCTATCCTTCTCAGTCACTAGTTCAGATATACTAAATGTATCTATCAATTGAGAAGGGATATCTTGACATGATTGATTAGTGGTAACAAGTTTGTCTCCAAAAGTCTTGTGTACCCAGTGTGCAGTGGATTCTTTATGTGACTGAGTTTGGGGCATAGTCTCTTTATCAAGTAGATTAAAAACAGAAGCATTTGGAACTACATTTGCAGCTGCATCTACATTCTCATTTAGCTCCAGATTAGCTATATTCTTTGGAACAGAGCTTTCACCCATCAAAATCAATTTATTTCCTTCGTTGCAATCACTGTGTTCCATTTCTAGCACTGCAAATCTGTTCAATGATTGAATTTGGTTTGCCTGAACTTCTTCTACCTCCACCAGTGCCAATTGACGTTCATTCTTGTTCTGCTGAACTGCTTCAGAAATTGTAATCATCTCATGCCCATTTTTTCTTTGATCAATGTTCTGACTTTTTACCAGCTTCACACGATTATCCTTCACCTCCTTCCATTGTGCTCCTTTTTGTCCTGTCGAACTTATATGAGTTCCTTTATCAGAAACATTGTCCTTGTTCATGATCTGCGTCGTCACAGTGGCCCTTACATCATCATGCATTAGATTTTCTTTCTCAGTTTCTATTACTTTGTTGGCATCCCTTTTTGCATTCAAGAGTTGCCTACCATCACCCTGCAGCTGCTCCAGCGTACATATCATTTCGACCCAACTGTTCTGTGTGTTCATTTGAATCTGGATTTTGTCTCTTTATCCTTCGACATGAATTTTCATCATGTCCTTGATGCTTACAGCAAGTGCAGTATTTTGGGAGGGTATCATAAACAATTTTTTGATGGAAATCAGTAGATTTACCAGAGAGTTTGTCAATGACGACAATTTTAATTTTTGTTGGATGCTTGTCCAATAGATCCAAGAGAACCTTAACCCTTGCAGCGCTTGGCCTTGTTCGATCTTTTGTCTCCTTGTCTACATCTAGAGGTTTCCCAACTGCTGATGCGATAGATAATAATGATTTTCGAGCAAAATAGTTTGGTGGCAGATCTGGGAACGAGATCCAAACCACAGCCTTCGATGTTTCCTCTTTTGGATCGAATCCAATCGTCCATGGGAATGTTCTGAAGAAGAACTCATCCCCTCTTGAGTTAAAGTGCCCAGTAGATCTTGAAACAAACTGGACATAATCATCATATAGATCGAGCCTTACCAATATGTGCCTATATTCCAGATGACCAATGTTACAATTGCCTTTGACATCGAACTGTTTTGAAAAGTTTCTTCTGAGCTCATGTAATTCTGGCTTTCCATAAGAGAATTTAACGATGACTGCTTGGTGTAAACCTTCTTCGATAACAAACTCTTTCACCTCTTCAGTGGTGAATTCAATCAATGGTTCTCCATGTTCAAATCTGACTGGCAGCAACACTTGGTTCTGGTTCTTGCGTGCTTCTTCATTTGCAACTAGAGAAGCATATGCCTGTTTCAGATTGATGTTGTTTGTATTATCATTTTGATGGTTTTGCTCTCCCACAGCCAAAGGCTGGGGAGAGGTGATGGGGATCATGAAAAAACTGATCAAAATTCCATGAAAGAGGAAGCAGATCTAGTTTATTTTCATAAATGTTTGGCTAATGTTTGGCCTCCACTACAGAGACTTGACATCTTTTGCCTCCAAAACTGAAAAATTAAGGTGTTTGGCCAAGCTTTTGAAAGGAAAAAAGTGCTTTTGAGGAGAAGCAGAAAAAAGTAGTTTCTCTCCAAAAACACTTTTTTGAAAAGCACTTCTGAGAAAAATACACTTAGAAGCAGTTTTTTAAAGCTTGGTCAAACACTAATTGCTACTCAGAAGTGCTTTTCAAATTAATTCGCCAAACACAAACTGCTTCTCACCAAAAATACTTTTGAGAAAAGCACTTCTCAAAATAAGCTGATTTTTGTAGCTTGGCCAAACGGGCTATAAATATTATGGCTGATGTAGACATAGTGGTAGTGTTCAGCTTTAAGAGAGTGAGTTCCTTCAAGATCTTGCATTTCCTACCATGTTGGTTAGGCAGTAAGTATAAGCTTTGCTAGTCAAAGCCATATTCCCTGTCTGCACTGGCTCAGCTCATATATGGACATATCAAATTGAAGAACATGAGTTTTAAAGAAGCAAATGCATTGGTTGCCACCCCTTTTAGACCCAAGGCTTCTTTTCTTCTGCCAAAATAAGATTCTTTGTCTTTCTCATGCATTCCGGTACTACCCATCTTGTTGACCCCATATATTTAGTGTCTCGCATCAAGAACATCCTGTCCATCATTTGTTATTGATGTTGACAATTTTGAAAATTTTAAGCATCCCTTTGGTGGAGTTTCGGCATGATCATTATGTAGGCATACTAGACAGTCACACTGCTGCTGCTTGAATTATTACTTTTGCCCTCCTGCATTGGGGAATTTAAAACAACCTCTACCCGAAGTTGATTTGGCTGCAACGGCTAGGTGATTGGACCATCCGACTATTTGTTATTAAACAGAATCATTGCCATGTCACTCAAATTGTGTGTAAACTTATAATGGATTTGCACATCGCGTTTCTAATTGAGGGACTTATCAGAAACTGGGTTGCTCAAGGTGGGCATCCTTCTCCTCTTCTTGTACTTCTTTTGGAGATAAATTTGGTAAATGCAATAATTACTGTGGGATGCAGTGTGCATTTGCAATAATTCTTGATTGATGTTTTTAGTTTAAGCTCTTCACACTTGATTGCTTTGTCCTGGTCCCAAGGATGATTCTGTAATATTTAGTTTCCTAGCATGTATTCTTTTCTTGAATACAAAGGCGCTTTTCCACACCCACCCTATAGTCACATGGCATATATATGCAACATATATTCTGCCCACCATTTTGCACCATAATTTACTGCTGCCATCTCGTCTAAATGGCTGTGGTTTCTTCACAAACATGGTAAATGGCTTCATCTACTTAAGAAACTTTTATTCCTCAGATTTACCTGCAGTTAATATTCCTTCGACAAAAATTTGACATGTTCGTTTTTTCATCAGGTCGACCTACTAGAGCCTGTATCACATTTTTTGGAATCAGCCCGGGTAAATTTGGCTCCTGAAAATTTAATGGTGTCAGAGTTGCACAAAGCTGCCAATTTTTATTGTGTTCCACTCCAGGTACAAGCTTAAGTTGCTTCCTTTTCACTAAAAAATTATTCCCTTTTCGCTATTATCTGCTTATAGTACTTCATTTATGAAAGCATAATATTTTATATTTTATATTTGACTAACATTAATTATTGCATTAAAGTTAGGTAGATTTATATTAAGTCAATAACTTGGTGATGATAAAAGTGCAAAACATAGGAGTATAAATAAACCAAAATATTATTAAAATAATAACTTGGTGTAAAGGAAAGTTGTTGGAGGATCATGAATCCATTTTCGATGTTCTAGATTCCTTGTGAGATGACCAAGGATATTTAATGTTTATTTTTATTTCTGGGCACTTTCCTTGTAAATATGGGTGACTTCACCTTTTTAGTGAAGTCTTTTTATTAATATATAAATATGTTACCTTCTCAAAAAAAAAAAAAAAGTGCAAAACATAGGAGTATAAATAAACCAAAATATTATTAAAACAATACCGGTTCCACTAAAAAAATAAGGAATTTCTAAAAACAAGAGATGAATAAAATAAGTATCCGTTGTATACATATAATACATAAATAAAAGTGTCCCCTCTAACATATTAAGATTTTAGATGTGATGGTTACACAATTAAACATGGTGCTAGAGTCAGTAAAGGTCCTAGGTTCGAACTTACAGCTACCTGTCAACAAAAATATTTCTACGTGCATATCTCATTAAGAATAATCAGACCTCAACATGAGGCGGCATGTTGTAGGCATATACAATGAATTTCTCCTCTTTAACAATTTAATTTTTAAAGAAGTGGTCACACAATTTAACAGTTTGGATTTATACAAAAAAAGTTGGCAAGTAAAAGAATCATTTACTGTTTGCTCGGTTCCTATTTAATTCGGTAGATTCTCGTGGATCTGCCTGCTGTGTTTTATATCATGATCTCCGAATAGAAACTATCCTTCTACTGTTCTCTTATGATTTTAGTGTGCAAAGATATCACCAAGCTGCAACCTCATCAGAATCAGGTGATAAAAGAAATTTTATCCCGTAATTGTTTCTTTATCTGGGAGAGAACGATATTTTGACGTTTTTGCTGGATTGTTGAATTTGAGATTTCAGTAATGGCATGGCTGGTGTTGTTTTCACTTATATGAGTACGTTTCAAACATTGAAGTATTGTCAACATTATCATTGGTCCAAACAACAAAATAAATATGGTAGTACAAGATTTAGTACATTGCTTTTAGGATTTCCAGTTTTCATCAGATAACAATATCAATAATGTCTTGGTGGCCTCATCTAGACAGGAGAGTTAGGGGCCATATAAAGGCAAGTTTAGGATTCAATTGTAGAGGGAACCTTTTAGGTTAAAGTCCATGGGGACAAAACCGTGTCGTTCCAAAGACCTACCAGAGCTAACAATACCTTTGCAGTTGGACCAAGGTCGTTACAATTGGTGTTAGAGCTAGTACCTCCCTTAGTATGATGGTTGGAAAAACCTCAGCGAGGAGCTGAGTCTCCAAGGGAGGGGGAGTCGGTGTAACAGCCCATGAACCATTGGCGGTTGAAATTGAAAGAAGGTTCAGGGTGAAGCTTGCCTTTAGACAGATCTCATATCAGGATGGGAGGCGAAAGCTAGGGGCCATATGAGGGTGAGTTCATGATTCAACTGTTGAGGCGCATTTAGCCAGAGGGACAAAATAGTGAGGCCTCAAAGTTGGGCCTGAAGGGACAATACCTTGGCAGTTGGGCTTGAGCCTTTACACCCATCTTAATCCAAGTGTACTAGTGCGTTAATAACTATTTCGACATTCAGAATTTGTCTTTCTTCAGTGAATGCAATTGGGGAGGTTAAGACCATCACATCCCATAATTTGGTAAATCTGATAAAGAACACCTTAGCAACAGTGCAAACTCATATAGATGCTTCTTGCTACCGTCATAAGTTCAAAATTCTTAATGCTTGTAACTCATCCTTCCTTGATATGATTGTTTGAAGGAAGCATTGGCCCTCTTTTAAACTTTTCCAGTGGCTTGAAAAGAACGGACGGTCTCCATAGCATTTCGTTTGACCTAGCTTTGACACCTCTGGTAGATAGCTTAAAGTGAAACCATTAGGACCAATATCCACAACATAGACCTTATCTTGCTTAAAAGTTCAAGCAAAACACAGCCCTTATGGATCATGCAATCACTGACCCGTCACCCTAACCTCCGCGTTTGTGGGAAATAGGACATATATCTAATTTAAGTTTTTTTTTCATTCACCTCTTGAGTCATCAAAGTGGAAACATGTTGCTTTCTACATTTATTTTTTTCTTTTCCCTAGGTAGTGCATAGGCAGCAGGTGATTTACTTTAACAATGCAGCTGTTTGTTTCTCCATGTAATCTGTCTCGAAATCAGGTGAAAAGAAGGAAGAATTAGTGGTAGGAGGTCCTATGATCAGTCAGTATCTCTTGAGACATGGTCATTTCAAGTAATGAAGTCCTTATTGCGGTAGCTATCCCTTGGCATTTGATACTATGATTTCTGGAAGCAGAGAACAGAGAACAGAGACAACAGTATGCTATTCATATTAAAAAAAAGAAAAAGACAATAGTATGCTGTGTTGTAACTTCTGCTGAGAACAAAAATGATTCCCCATTTTGCAGTGTGAAGAAATAAAGAGATATTTTCCTTTTTAAACTGTTTCTTCTGTCTTGTTCTCCACGGAACCATTTGCTGCTAGACAGAGATTTCAGGAAATTACGTTTTTAAAGAGATTCCTTTAGGCTTTTTCCATACATATCTCAAAATTCAGTTATTTCTAGTCATAGTGTGTCATCATGAGGCATTCAAAATTCATTGCTGATCCATTGAGCTTAAGAACGAATCTCACTAGCTCACCATATCAACCTCTGGTTATATCACTTTTTCTTAGCTTCGAATGATTTCATTCGAAACAGTATGTATATTGATTGAAACATTTTTCACGGGAAATAAATATGCAGCGCGCGCACACACACAAAATGTATATGCATATAAATTTGAAACTTAAACTGAAACATTAGCTTATTGCAATTCATAGTATCTGTCACATGCTTATAGTTTGGGTGTTTTAAAGGTAAGTCTAGTGTGTTTATCTGACTCGTGCTTGCACTTTGTTTCCACATATTTGAATTAGAAAGATTACCGTGGTTTTGGTTAGTGTCTTGATTCACTTTTAGGCTGTTGCTTACTCATTGTTTTCCCTTTTATTTTTTCTTCAAGGAATTTACTCCTGATGCTGAAAGATATGATGTTATTTGGGTTCAGTGGTGTATTGGGCATCTTGCAGATGATGACTTTATTTCATTCTTCAAGAGAGCACAGGTGAAGTGATCTTCTAAAATGAAGTTCTATTAGGGCTCGATTGTAATAAGTAGCTATTGCACTATTCATTATGTTCATGATCCAGTATGATGTGAATATTTTGCAAGCTACATTAGCTTATGAAACATGGGCAGTAGTGCCAAAAAGCAACAAGGTCTACACGGCGAAGCAAAAACCTGAAGCGAAACACAAGCTCCTTTTGAATTGAAAATAACAATTTAGAGAAAATTAAAAATATACAGAACATATTTAAATCTATTACTATAAAATGATCATATTACAATTAAAATAACTGATCTCAGCATCCATAAATAAATCTAACTCTTTAAAGTTGAAACTGAAAGAACATAGATCTTGTTTTGATCATTTTGCGCGTATTTTTGAAGCATGCACTTCTATGAAGCGCATAGCTTCACCCATGAAGTGATTCGCACATCGCTTTAACTGACAAAGCAATTGCTTTTAATAACACTAAAACATCATAGTTTTATTCTTTATAAAAATCTATTTTCCTGATCAACAAAATCTTTTTAAAACTGTGATTGATTGAGCTTGCAACAACTTTTTATCCCAAGCCAACAGGCTGTGCCATGTAGTAGATTTAGTTTCTGCTGTAGCTTTGTTTCTGCAGGTTACTGCAACTTCCACTGTAGGCAAACAACAACCATTTATTCGACCATTTCTGAAGCTAAAAGCTAGGATTCATTTTATGCTAGAGTGTCAGGGAGAATGCTTCCAAGTACTTGTTTTTCCACCGCGTGGCATAGCAAGTGATCCGTGGTCAGACAGGACCTTAGTACTTTGTTTGCTGCTATTCTCTACAATATGAACTTTTGGATCACTTAGCTCTCCATCCTTATATCCAGTGAGATTGAGAGAATGTGACTGGCTTTTTTAGCTGCTAGGATTTTCACATCCACCACAATCTCGATATCCTCTTCATTCAACAATTTGTAACAACCTTCTCAACAATATATCCTACTTGATTGCAGTCCCTATCGCTATCAGTAGAATGCCAGCTTGTGAACAATCTATACTTACTTTCGTGGCATGACTTTTTTTTTTTGAAAGGTAAAGCAGCACAAGTATTGTGCTGTGGTTACATCCCAGCAAAAAAGACAAGAAAGAAAGTAAAACCATTTCTGGCTATGTAGTGAATGTAGAAAGTCTAACAGGGTTTCAAATTCATTTACAATTTCAAATGTATAACAATAGGAAATCAAAAAAATATATTCTGATATAATTTTCAGGATATAGCTAACCTTCAAAGCATGTTCTGTTTCTTTCTTTCCATTGGCTCCACCATTCTATTTTGCTGTTTTAGACATGCCCTTCCTGCTCCAATATTTTAGCCAAACTGAGGCAGACTTGACATAGCCCATTGCAGCCCTGATATGTTTTAAAACATCTGCCAAACTTGTGCTGCCATTGTGCATGTTTTTTAGCCTTATAGTTAGAGATTTTGCATCTTCTTCTTTGTTGTCCTTACGCTTGGGATGTATACCCATAGTCGGGTCATGAAACATATTCTTGTACATTTTATAAGCTTTTTTTGTTCTACTTGTTTAGAAAAACAGGTAAATTCTAAAGAGATTTAGTTGTTTACCTGGGGTATTTAGTTGGAATATGAGACCTGAATCATTCTGTTATCAGATCTCTTTAAGTTATGCACCGGGATAGAGAACAAAGTACTTCTGCTCTCTGTGTTGCAAAGGCCATAGATCTCTCTTATGACTGGCATAATTGACCTGCATCAAGATCGAAATGAAAAAAACACTATTCTTTTGATATAACTTACACTTTTGATTAAGGAAAGCTCGTGCTCCTCCCTCTACCACTTTTTTAAGTAAACCCAAATCTATTTGTTATCTAATATGAAAGAGCTGCTTGATCATATCGGATACCTGATAACTCATTGCCCATAAGTTTGTCCACTATAATGGTCTCGGCGAACATCATCTTAAAGATGCTTATCTCAGGTACTAATACTTATTCCTTTATAACGCCCAAAATTTGTAATCCGAAAGAGTTCCCTTATCAAAAATAAGTGTAATGCTAAAGAGTTATACTTGTTATATTTTTTTTATCTTTATCTGTTTTCTGTTTTGGTTGCTTTTATCAAGGATTGTCACCTGTGTGTGGGGCATGGATTTTCTGAACTTTAGTTTTGTAATAGAATACCTGACATGTTTACTTGTTCTCAATTAAACCACTTCTGATTTTTTCTTTTCTCCGATAAAGCAGTTAAACAGTTTGTTTTATTCTATTTTTCATCTAGGCTGGCTTGAAACCTGGTGGACTTTTTGTTCTAAAAGAGAACATTGCAAAAACAGGTATCATCTCTTTGACTTCTCTGTTATGTGGAAATTAGTATCACCTACTTCCTTCTCGTGTTATGTTATTTCATCAAGTTGAGCACACTTTTCGGTTCTGTTGCACATTTTATAAAAGTAAACTTGAAAGGGAACTCTTATGTTTTTAAAATGATAAGTGTAAAACAGCGATAAGACTCTTGGGATTTTAACCAACAAGTGAAGGAGACACTCGTTAAAAGTAAAGCACACAAGTAGAAAAACTCTCTAACATATAGAAATAGAGTAATTATATCATAACATTTGCCATTAGCATTACTAATCAAAAAATCCAAAATAGTGATAATATCAATCCCGACAACTACAATTAGCAATTTGATTTAAAATATTCCATGAAGATTAACTTCAATCCCAGTACTTACCCTTTCAAAAAAATAGATCACTTTAACCCCAATTTTAATTAATAGGCTATAAAAGATCAATCTGCAATATTGAGATCATATTTAACTGCTATAGTAACAATACTAAATATCATATGTGCCAAAATCTTCACCCACCTTGATAGCGGAACTCATATTGAGGAAATCCCAGTGAGCCCTAATGTGTTTCCATAAACAGAGACTGAGAAGGAAGGAGTTGGTTTGGTCATCCAAGGATTGAGAAGCCCGTACTTTGTGCTGATTACACCTCTCCTTACTGCGGTTTTTACTTCTTGGTTGAACCTCCGGATCCATTTGCTCAACAAGATGGTGTTGTGAGTCTTCAAATCTCAGAGTCCCAAACCTTCTAGTTTCTTGATTTTCATGTCAGTCTTCGAATTGACCAAATTTTAAGACTTCTCTTTATTCCCTTGCCATGGAAGTCTGCACGGATTTTCTCCAAACTCTTAGACGCCTGTACGAGCATGGGGAAAAGAGCTATGATGTATTTGGGTAAAGAATCCGACATACTGTTGATGAGAACCAATCCATCTCCCAATGAAAAGATATGGTTGAATCCAACATACTGTTGATGAGAACCAATCTACCTCCCAATGAAAGATATGGTCTTGTCCAATTTGACAACTTTTTGCATTTCTCCAAAATATCATCCCAGATAGCTGTACAGTTTGATTTCCCACCTAGTGAAGCCACAAATATTTCGTAGGGAGTGAACCAATGTTGCAGCTCATAATATCTGCCAGCAAATGCATATTGGTGACAGCATGCATATGACTCTTTAATAAGTTAAATGTGAAACCCTGAAACAGCCTCAAAATTCACAAGACTCAGTCTCAGATAAAGGACTTGATCTACCTCTGCGTCACATGAGATTAAAGTGTTGTCTACTTAGAGAATATGGGAGATGTGCAGAGTACGTGTAGCGCTCTATACCCTACTGAAAATCCCGTAATCCAGCTATTTTGCATTGCTGAGACCATCATCTTATTGAAACCTTCCATTACAAGTATAAAGAGAAACCTAGAAAGGGTGATAGAGAATCACCTTGTCTCAGGGCCCTTTTTGTGGGCAATAATCTGTGAGAACCATGAGGAAAATTATTGATAATCACAGATAATCTGACTATGGAATGCACCAACAAATCCATTTGATACATTTATTGCCGAAACCCATGTCCTTTAGCAATTTAAGAAAAGAAGCATATTGTTTAAGATTCCATGTTTTAAAATACATCTTGTCTGCAGGTATATCAGTTACTTTACAAAAATAGAGAATTGGTCGTAAATGTATTGTAGTTTAAAACAGCAATTGCAGGGAAATTGATCCTACAGTCAAAGGACGTAAGGTGATTGTTCAGAATATCCCTGCTTTCCGTAATGTCTGGTCCATATTATTGTTTGGTTGGGCATCATACAGTTTCCATTTGTTTACTGTGCTGAGCTTTAGTTTTTGTTTCTTGATTTGATGAATTTCTAGTTAGAGCTGAGTAAGTTCTTGACTCCAGTTTTCTGATGTTTCTTTGATGTCTGGTCCATATTGTTGTTTGGTTGGGCATCATACAGTTTCCATTTGTTTTACTGTGCTGGGCTTTACTTTTTGTTTCTTGATTTGATGAATTTCTTGTTAGAGATGAGTAAGTTCTTGACTCCAGTTTTCTGATGTTATGGAACGTATATATAATGATTGAGTTGTAATGATATGCAAATTAACTGAAGTTTGTAACCTATTTTAAGGATTTGTATTGGACAAAGAAGATAAGAGCATCACAAGATCAGATTCATATTTTAAGGAGCTGTTCAATCAATGTGGACTATACATCTACAAGATGAAGGTAAAGATGAAGCCTTTACTTCTAGTTCATGTGCCATAGGGGAAGTCTTCAGAGAAAAGGGAAAGTTTATGTGTTCGATTTTCCATGTCATTCCAATTTTTTATTACTTAGCTTGTACAGTGCTTAGGTTGTAACTTTTAGGAAAAGAATGTTTTCTTCTAATGGTTTCGGTGCATCATTTTGTTCCTTAATCATTTTGTCCCTCTTTCTATAAGACGGAGGTGACAAACATAGCATTACTTCCATCTCATGTGCCATATGAAAATCATGAATTTTCTTCCATGGTCACTAACTTTATTACTTGGTTTTAGTAGTGCATCACATTTTAACCTTATCACAAGATGATAAATTTCTTCAGATGGGAGCATAATTTTGTTTCGTCTCTGCTGGTTCCCATTAGCAGCAAACATTTTCATTTTCTCTGCGCTTTTAGCAAGTATTGCATTCCCCTTTAGCCCTTCTTCTTGTGAAGCTGCATCTTTTCCCATGACAGAAGCATGGCGATATTTTAGATTTACTTCTTATTTATGACCAACTTGGTGTCTTCTTTTCTCTCGAGTATCCTCAATAATAATATTAGCTAAATTGTAGTTGGAAGTGTGTACCGCTACTTGTAATATGTTTTGTCTCCCTGAAGGGTACAATTCATTTTTGCTCTAACAATAGACTTTTCTTTGTCAGGATCAAAAAGGATTTCCAGATGAATTATTTGCTGTGAAGATGTATGCATTGACTACTGAGATGCCAAGGCAAGGTAATAAACCTAGACCTAAACGGACAACTAATAGACCTGCTATCATCAGATGATGAATATCACATTGGTGTTGTGTGGTTTTACTAACTTTGGATGAAGTAATTCATAGGTTATTGTTTTTAGGTCACATGTATGCGAGTTCTGTCAATGTTATGTTATTGCTTTTGGATATAAGTTATATACATTGATAGTGAAGAGATTTGTTGTGTACTTTAGCTTATTGTAGGTTACTTCTTATGTTGAATTATTTATGCAACCGCTTTTGTATCAATGTATTCTGCTCTTCTTGTATGGTTAAAAGACCCAAAGAAAAAAGAAACTGGTTTGCTTATGCAATTCAAGTTGAAGGATGAAAAAATAATAAACCTGAAATTTGACCAAGGTACAGGCACTTAAAGCTAATAAAGTGTGTATACAAAAGAAAGAAAGTGTTAATTGCCATTTTGCCTTAAACATCTTGAAGACCTTATTTCGCAATTTATGATGTGATAACTGGCTGAAGCGTCTTGTACAATTAGATTATAAAATACTTCGAATATTTATTAATACAATTAATCGCAGAGAAGGATTTTATTATTATTAGAGGCCTCTTGTATACGGCAAAAATCAGAGGGTCTGACTTTGTGACCGCTAAGGCACCTCGTAAATACCGCTCCTAGAAGGCTCGAAGTTTAGCTCTGGGCTTGACCCCGAGGGATCCCAATGATCGATCTCGAGGCAATGCAAATCAACATCTATGATGGACTAACGGGAAGTTTCCAAGACACATGACTAAAGCTGACCAAGTCTACTAGGCTAGTTCAAGCCCGTACCGTGACATTAAATGGCTATACCAGCCACATATCTTTGTAATAAATATAGTTGTACTATATTGGGATTCCCCCTGATATATAAAGGGAACCCTTGTCATTTTGTAGGAGAGATACATTATTCACAACATTCAATACAAGAAACATTCTCTGCTCTCTGACTTAAACATATTCTTTTGGCTTCACTACTTACATTTATTGCTTATATTTGTTGTGTTCTATTTGTTGTTCATCATTTATTGCTCATCATTGATCATAAAGAGCCTTCATTAAAGCTCTTAATACTATTAGCCCTTCATCGGCTGTCTATAGCTTAGTGTCGAGCTCGACCTCGAGGCCTCGATTCTCGGCCGCCTGGTTTGCCTAAACACACTATTTTCAAGTTCTTATCTTATTTTCTAGTCTCACGCTTAACATATACTGCCTTACAACTAGCATAAAAACAGATCACGTATTTTTAGAACCACAAAATCAAATTTAATTGTAATTACCATTTTCAAGGTAAATAGTTTGGCGCCCACCGTGGGGCTAAAAATAACAATGATTGTTTTCTTGCTGGTTTACCATATAACGCAAGTTATCTTTCACACTTTTTTCTTGTCCAAGAATCTTTAATTTCAGGTCAAAATGTCTAACTCAGTGAATGCATATGAAAACAACGGTCTTGAAGACCATGGAGAGAATGGTGTAGCCATTCCAGGTATTGGTGTACCATCGTGAACTCTGAGGACGCGCCAGAGCCAATCCCTGCGGATGTGGTCTCACACGATGCCCAATACGTCGATATAAGCTCCCACACAAACAGGAGCATACGACAAGGAGACCAACAAAAAGCCCTGAAAACCCTAGCTCGGGAGGAACAAGAGGTTAGCCTTCACGTTATTTTTGAAATGTTACAGGCACAACAGCTGGCGATTGCTCAACTGCAAAGCCATCAAAAAACTCCAAGCACAGCAGCACCGGAAATGACTCCTCGAGCCGAACAGGTACCTGAAAAGTCGAGCAATAACGGGTCAGCAGTCGACTCTGCTATCATGAAGGTGCTCGAAGATCTCACAAAAAGGATTGAGTCGGGCGAAAAGATAATAAAAGCCAACGACAAAATGGTAGAGACCTACAACTCGAGGGTCGACCAGATCCGGGGCGCACCCCCGATCCTGATGGGTGTTGATTCAAAGAAGTTCGTACGAAAACCATTTCCATCAGATGCCGCTCCAAAGCCCATCCCAAAGAAGTTCAGAATGCCCTATCTCTCGAAGTTCAATGGGACCTCGGACCCCAAAGAGCACGTCACAGCTTACACTTGTGCGGTAAAGGGCAACAGCCTGAAGGACAACGAGATCGAATCCGTCTTGCTAAAATTTTTTGGAGAAACACTCTCGAAATGGGCCATGATGTGGTATCACAACCTATCTCCGAATTCAATAGACTCATTTGCCATGTTGGCAGACTCTTTCATAAAGGCGCATGCCAGTTCCATCAAGATGGCTACTAGAAAATCCGACGTCTTCAAAATCAAACAAAGGGAAAACGAGATGCTACTGAAGTTTGTATCTCGCTTTCAAATAGCGCGAATGAACTGCCACCGGTCTCTAACGACTGGGCAGTGCAGGCCTTCACAGCAACTGAAGCAGAATTTGGTTGAATATCCTGTCGTGACCTGATCGGATGTTCACAACCGATACCAATCAAAGATCAGGGTCGAGGACGACCAATTGGGAGCCCCCTCGGGATCAGTATATCCGAGCAAACTCCTGGCAAAGGAGCCAAAGCCAAACAAAGAAAGGTATCAACCGTACACCGAAGATAGGAGAAACGCCCCAAGGCGTAACATACCCCAAAATGATCGAGGAACGGACCGAGGTCAGAATCCTCGAGGACTCGTAAGCAGAGTCGAATTCAATAGGTATGCAGGACCGACGGAGGCACCCGGCCTGTCGGAATACAACTTCAACGTTGAAGTTTTAGACATTGTATCCGCCATCAGTAAAATCAAAGACACCAGGTGGACAAGACCAGTACTATCAGATCCGTCGCAGAGGAACCCCAACTTGGTGTGCAAATTTCACGGCACACACGGTCATAAGACCAAAGATTGCAGACAGCTCCGAGAAGAAGTGGCCCGGCCACTCAGCAAAGGGCACCTTTGAGAGTTCCTTAGCGACCGAGCCAAAAATCAGTTCCGGGAAAGAGAGGAAAACAGGAAAAATGAAGCAGATGAGGCGCAACATGTCATCCACATGATCATGGGAGGAATCGACGTCCCACAAGAACCCACTATCAGAAGAACAAAAATATCCACCACCAGGGAAAAGCGAACTCGAGGTTACATACCCGAGGACGCTTTCACATTCAGCGACGAGGACATCGGGACCCTGTCTCAGCCTCATAACGACGCACTGGTAATATCTTTTCTTGTAAATACATTTCATATTAAACATGTACTTGTGGATCCAGGCAGCTCGGCCAACATTATTAGGTCAAGGGTCGTGGAGCAGCTCGGACTGCTCGACCAGATCGTGCCCGCTTCTGAAGTCCTCAACGGATTCAATATGGCGAGTGAGACAACCAAAGGGGAAATCACCCTCTCGGTCAACGTGGCCAGAACAACACAAAATGCCGAGTTTCATGTCATCGAAGGAGATATGAGGTACAACGCTTTGCTCGGGAGGCCGTGGATACACTACATGAGAGCAGTACCATCAACCCTTCATCAAATGATGAAGTTTCCAACAAAAGACAGAATAAAAACCCTGTACGGGGAACAACATGCAGCAAAGGAGATGTTCGCGGTGCACGATGTGGCACCAACATCAATGCCTTCAACATCGAAGGAGTCAAAGGATAAGCAATCACTAAAGTAGCGATCACGAGACACATCCTCGGCATCACCCAAATAAAACAAACAAAGGACCGTACTGCGTCCCCTAAGCAAACGTTGTAAACATATCGAGGCTCGAAGCGCCATCGCCACTAAGGTATAACCATCTCCCTTTATATTTACATCTTACACTAACCTTTGTGCATATGTCCGATCAAAACAGTCGAAGCGATGTCCAACTCGAAGACCTAAAGGTTTCAAAGCATACGTTGCACTCTTTTCCTTCGTTTGAGTTTTATCCCAAGAAGGGTTATACTGACAAGGTTTTAACGAGGCAACATCCATGTGCTACCTAAGGAGAATTTCACAAAGTGTTCAAGGCTTCTCTTCAATCAACCTCGAACACTGGGGGGCATACCCCCGAAAGATCACCTTCTCGAAGAAGCCAAGATGAGCCAAAAAGGGTCTCAATAGGAAAATGATCTATCGGGCCAAGCGGTCGAATGAACCGTGTCCGCATAGAATAATTGAGCCCTTGATGGCAAAAACGTGTATACCTGTGCCAAGTAATCAAAGAATATTTCCTCCTCCATCAAAACGCTTTACGCTTCAAAGAAGTCTGATGCTTTCGCAAGAAATGGCTCCAAAGCCAAAAATTTCCCGAACACTCGGGGACTGGCGTTAGGAACTCGACCTCCGGGTCAGAAAACTTTGAACTCATAAGCCCTCAATGAGGCAACACCAAGTTTATAAAAAGTGGCTCTAGAACCGAAATGACTTTCGATGTCTCGGGGATTGTCGCCGATTGTCACCTCATCGATTTGAAAAGTCGAGGCTATAAGACCCCATGCGGGCAACCCCAAGCTCATAAGGCCTTCATAAGGCAATACCAAACCTATAAGACCTCAAGCAAGGCATGAATCACACTTGTACCAAGTGCCCAAATCTGTAAGACCTCAAACAAGTCATGAATCACACTTGTACCAAGTAACCAAATCTGTAAGACCTCAAGCAAGGCATGAATCATACTTGTACCAAGTAACCAAGTCTGTAAGACCTCAAGTAAGGCATGTTTATATTTATAAGACCTTACAGAAGGCATAATCACGATCTTAAAGTTAAGGCTACATATTCGAACTTGTAAGACCCCTAAAAAGGCATATCCTCGATATAGACGCTGAAACTACTTCACTCGGGGACTGAGGCTCCAGCCAAACACAATGACTCCGGTCACAAGGCTCCGGCCAAACTCACGCGACTCAGGGACACCCGACCGTCGCTACAAAATCACAAGCCTCCAATTACTTCGAAAAAACTTCGAAAAGAACCGATTAATCAGGCTACCCTAGTTAAAGCAAAAGAGTTTCGATCATATCAGCTCCAAACAATGGGCTTCGAAACAACTCAACCGTCGAGCGAAACCTCTCGAGGCGCTCATTTATCGCTAGTTAACAGCTCACAATCGAGGTTCTTATCGAGCCGTCAAAGAGTCGGGCGAACACAAAAAGTCTTTAATGAGGGAAAATAAAGCCTACATATGAGGTCGTACCGACCCAATGCGTAAGATCCACTGTCGCCAACTTAAAATTAAAGGTCGTACCGACCCAATATGTAAGAGCCACTATCGCCAGCCTATATTAAGAGGTCGTACTGACCCAATGCGTAAGAGCCTAAGGGCCAGCTTAAGAACTTAAGGGTTAATGAGCTCGAGTCAAAATCTAACTCGGAGACCGAGCCCAAAACAACTAACTAAAAATGCCCAAGGGCAAATGCGTAAGAGCCCAGACGCCAGCCTATACTAAGAGGTCGTACCGACCCAACGCATACGAGCCTACGAGCCATCCCAACAAGCCTCAGGGCCGAATACAAACCGAAAGGTTTCTTTATATATACGTATGTATGAAACAGTGCGAGGCTGCATTTGCAAAGTTCTCTAAGAACACTGTACAAAGAATCAAATAGAAATAAGCCAAGTCTATTTTTCCCTCGGGGACTACGGCCCCATCGGCCTCTTCTCCACTATCTTCGGCATCAGACAAGAGGAATTTGGCGTCATATTCATCTGCCCTGGCCTGCACTATCTCTTCTGAGAGATCGAAGCCCCGTGAATCTCTTTGAGGGTTTCCCTCCGAGATTTGCACCAGGCATATTCATTACTTTTGCTCTCTCGATCGGAAGCACCTCTCGACTTTGCTCAAACCTCAGCAGCGTCTTTTAAATAGACGACCACTTTCTTGTCGTCCTTAGCCCGAATTTCTTCAGCTTCAGTCCGGGGGTCCACGACCT